AATAGTTAAAAGTAAAGATCTCTATGAAAAGCAGTTTAAAAAACATCCGTCAACAACTAAGAGTGACAAAACAATTTGTTTTGTGAACATACAAACGTTTTAAGTCTCTTGGAACAAATCAGGATCGAAAGGGACGTGGAAGACGTGTAACTTCGGCTGTTAAGACTGTTATCAAGAACGTTCGCGAGAGAATAAGGCCCAACCCGGAGAGATCTGTTCGTCAAATGGCTCGTGAAATGAAAGTTCCTGTGACTTCGATGCATCGAATCGTTCGAAAACGCTTAGGAATGAAAGCTTTCAAGAAAAACAAGTGTCACGGAGTTACCGATCAGCACTGATTTCTGACACATTGCCATTTTTGGGTGTTCACTAAATCATGTGGAATCCAAGTCTCTAATACGGTTTAAACCCAACTGTGTGCAATGTTCGAGTCTTATTGGATGGTCAACTGATAACTCTTCTGCTATTTCGCGAAAAGAAAGCCTGGATGACCCTCCGTTCGACTTTGAAGGTTCAACCCCAGAACGGAATTTAACAAACCAGTTTGCACATGTCGATCTTTGAATCTTGAAACAGTACTTGGCGCTTCTTTGTAGAATTTGTCACTTTCAACAGGATTTGGTGTTCCGAGTTTATCTCGCATTATTCTAGAGACGATATTCCAAACTCTATCTTCATGATATATTTCCTTTCTTCAGATCCAACCATATCCAATAAATTTATTTGACTATGGATGTTAATGAATATCTACAAAACGAAAAAGAAACAGAAATCCGTTCAAAAGTCAGAGGAAATAGTGGAAAAACTAATATTAAGTAGTGCCTAGGTTTGGACACATTAAACATAGTCATGTTTAATTTTTTAGAATAAGTTTGAAAATGTTTGTGAAGATTATAAAAGTTCCATTCCAATTCCCCTTTTGGTGAAAATCTGATTTCTCTTATTTGTGTGTGTTGATCTGAAAATTGCATTTATTACGGAGAGGGGGCACAAAGAACGTTTTATGGATGGTTTTGTAAAAAGTTCAAGAATAAAGAACGTTCTGTTTTAGATAAGCACTTTATTGATCTGGAAAAAATTAAAGAAAACAAGTAGCATAAAGACATAAATTTCCAAAACTTCACAAGTAAAATACAAAATCGAGAAATTGTGAAGTCGGGAAGACTACGGTTAGAATACAGAGCAATCAGCATTTTTTTTCCTTGCTCTTTCTCCTAGGTAACTTCTTTATCTTCAACGACTGTGGGTTCGTGAATTGGCTATACGGCACTTTCCTAAACTCAAGCCATTCTGTTTTTGGATTCCCTTGATAAACAATCAAGCGGATGTAGGGTGTATATCCATCATCCTTTATAGACTCTCTGATTGAGATTTGCCTCTTGAAAGTGTTCTCTTAATACTCCAACATCAATATGATAAAATTTCTTCTTGAAATCCAATCCAGGAATACTTTCCCCATTTTCTTAATTATTTGGATGATCCAAGAGAATCAAAAATGGAATATCTAAGAGATTTTTACAGCAAAGAAATAAAAATCGATGTTCCATGAATTGAAAAGTCAGATCTCTATTTGAGCTTATACAATCCATGTAACTTCCCAACTTGTAACTTGATAATAAAGTACGTTTTATGGACGTTTTTGTAGATATTTCAATGCTCTATTTGAATAAATACTTTATTCATTCGAAGAAAAAGAAAAAAACACGTGGCATCAAGAAAGAACGAATTCGACAACGAAAGAACGAAAGAAACGAAAGAACAAAAGTTGGTGCAGACAAATAAGACAAAAAAATAAGTTTCTTTCAACTTTTGGGCAAATATCCAAATTTGTGATTACGAGTTTTTTAGCCAAGAAGTAAATAAACTTTCAGGAAGCTCTCAACCAAGAAGACAATGTTTTAGTTTTTGATTCAAGTTTAACAGAGCCAGCCTTACCAACAAATTTTTCAAGGCCAGCAAACGGGCACCCGGCTAAAATTTACAAAGTTGGAGAGGCCCACGACCTATGCTATCTAGAAGTGGCTGCCATTCTAACTCATCTCGGTAATAGTAGGAATGAGTTCGATGGCAAGCAGTCAAACACAAGCCGAAGATAATTTACGCTATTTCGATCCGAAAATGATGCATCAGCCAAGCAAAGAGTGCGTTTATTAACAGTGGAACTTTTATTTTTTATTTCAGATCGATGAAATTGCGACCTTATCTTCCGGCGGATGTCATTCTTTTCGTGGTCGGGGGCGGAAATTACGTGGAGTATGAAAATCTTGTTGAATGGGGACGCGATAAAGGAGTTCAACGTGTGACTTATGGTTGCACTGAACTTGTTAGCCCATCGCAGTTTATCGAACAGGTATAATTTCGGCTTCAATCATATTCAACTTTGTTTTTTAGCTTTCACGGCTTGGTGGACAACTTTAACAGAATTGCGGCATTCTTCGATGAGATTAGCGGTTTCAATTTTGTTTTTAAAAACTATTTTAATCATTGGTTACTTTATGTGCATTGGCTAAGCTTACGTGTGTTTTCTGATAGTTTTTCGCAAATATCTCAAGTTAATGTGTTTTTGAAGTACTGTGATATACCTATCCATAATTTCTGTGTTTGTATTGTTTTTTGTCGCGATGAAACTTACAAAAGGATAAATTCTAGCAAAACGTATAAAGATTGGGTAATGCACGAGAAAAAGCACATTTAGATTTCATTTTGAGCGCTTCATTTATGTTCTCCTTCACATTGATTATCCAAATGTGAAGGGGAAATCTGGTTCGGTGAATGAGTACAATGATATGCGAGCGTTCTCAAAGGCAAAGAGGAATACTAGGCTATCCATATCAGGATTCTTGGAGTGAAGTGATAGGGATCGGAAAAGCGGCAATCTTTCTCCCTTATTCTTCTGATTCCATAGACATGCAGATTCCATAGACATTTCCATTTCCATAGACAGCATGCAGATTCCAGAGACACAACTATGAAAAGCAACCAAATTGAATTTCATCCATTCATCGCCGAAAAAAAAATTGTAAAATAAAATGATGCGTGAATTTCCATAGTTGTGTCTATGGAATATGAATCTTATAGCATCTTATAGCGTCTAGCAACTAATTTATCTCCCACACTTTTTGTCTTTTTCGTATCCTGCATAGAATTAGGCCAGTAAAAAGGCTAGAGACAAGGTTACGGTAGCTTTTGAAAGTGCCATGGCTTAGAAAACGGATTATTGCTCAATAGAGTCCTTAACGACAACGAAATATTTTCAAATGTAAATCTAATGGAAAATTCCAGATGACCGGTCTCCAGTTGCCCGCATGTGCCCTGGGTGGATTGCCTCTTTGCAATCAGTTAAATGGATTGTATTCGGGAAATTGCCCTCACACAAGCTCATACCTGAATGTTCGTTCAGATCATTCATCGTGTTAAAATTGAAATTCAGGACATAAACTCACTTCAGCGCTACGAAGGCCAACATATCTATACGATCAACAGTAAAATGGATCAAATTGTCGGATTTTTGGTGTGCGGAGGGGTGAGTACGGAGCGTAATAAAACCTATTTGTGAACTAATATTTATTTGAAACTATATTTGAAATTTCAAATTTTCAGATCACTTCCCAAATCGGAGAACAAGAGGGTGAGCGAATGTTTGATGGGTTGAATCACGAGCAAACTTTCCATCAAACACGTCATGTTCAATTGGCGATGATCCGTGAGCACAAATTCATCAAAGAGTGAGATGTTTCTGCTAGGCAAAATGAAGAGCTATCCGCTAAACGTTGTCATTTCCAACCTTGTTCTTGAAAAATCTTGAAAAACAAAGTTGAAATTGAAGTTCTATCAAAGATCAACTATTCGCTGCATCAGTATCCATTAGACATGACTAACGAGATAACGAGAGTTAACGAGACAACCTCATAGACTTTCATAGAGATTTTGAAAATGCCTGAATTTTGCTTTATTGGAAAGCTGGTGTTTCTAGCTTTCATTTGATACCAAATACTCATCAACAACTTAAAATAGTCCCTTGAAAAATCTTACCAAAGTCGGGTATATAACTTGTCTCGTTAACGCACCTCTCTTATCGAGACAAACCATATAACCGAGGCTTTGACAAGATTTTCCAGGGGACTGTTTTAAGAAGGACTGACGAAGAAGGATGATTGCAACAAGCCTTCACGTGAAGGCCAGCTTCACAAAAATTTGCGTGTCCGAGGAAACGCGTGCCAAGATGTTCGCATATCTGAGTGCTACACTTAGAATCGCGGTAATTATTGAATCCCCTGTACAAAATGTAGTCTTTCATCCGCAATATTTTTACTGCATGTAACTTTTACCTCATTTTGTCTTTCAAAAACCTTTTGCAATTTTTTATAGTCTTTTTTTCTTTGACATCGTTCAATGAAGTGACTATATTTTTTGCTTTCCCTTTTCTCATTTCCGATCTTCACTTATTCTATATGTATTCAATGCAATAAATTGTGTGACTTGCTTTTGCTTAAACATCGAAGAAATTTTCATAAGCTGCCTATTTGCAATCAGTGAAACAGAAAAACCCCAATCGCAATCAGGTCGGAGAATAGTTGCAAATCAAAAACTTCTTCAACTTCGTGGTTCCTTGGTGCTTTTACGTACGACAACGATCAACAGTCTCCCAGCATAACTTTTTAATCAATTAGCTGAATATTTTATTGCTGTCGAATACAAATATGGGAGAGCCAAAATGTTTGAAGGAATTTAGACCTTTTGACCTTTGCGCGATCTTCTTTATTTCAGAACTACACAGATTTCTCGATGATGGTTTTTTTCAAAATTAAGCTGTAGTTTTTCAATGCCGGAATTCGCCTTTATGGCCAAGCAATGCAAGGCCTTGTTTTCTCAAGCATTAGTTTTCTGTTTCTTAATACTTTTATTGTTTTAATCAAGGGAGATGTGTTGACCCTTTTTGCTATTCTTTTTCAGATAATCAACTTTCTACAAGCGTTGGTTGTGATTGGTGGATTTTTCGTATGGAAGCCCAAGAAATTCGTAGTTCGGTGAGGTGTAAATTTTTTATCACAACTTGTATATCTTAGGAAACTCGCCTCGACGTTGCTGTTCTCCCGGATGTTCCCTTTCTTCGGGTACTAAATTACTTGTCAGGATTACAAATTGAAAAGTAGCTTTTCTGTGTTATAAAGTATCAATGATGATGCTTAGATGTCGGGGAATTTCGCGTCTCTTTCAACAACGTATTGATGTGAATCGGAAATCGCTGCCCACCGTACAAGTTTATTCTCTGACGATTGACCAGATGAAGGTCAACCCTGAACCTCTTACTAATAATCATAACGAGGTAGTTTCAAATGAAAATGCTTTTTTAACTAGCCTTCTAGGTTGAACCAACTATCTTTATCGCGATTGAAAAAGGTTGGAGCCGTATGAAGTATGGAGCTGCTCCATTGAGGCAGGCACTCGAAAGATTCAATCACATGTTTCCAGGAATGTCCATTAAAACTCTCCATTTGGTACGGCTTTCAAAATTTTGCGCTCAGAGTGTACTGGAGTACAAACAAATGTAATGAAAACTTTTAGAAGCTTGAGTATTTCGACGTCGCCACGTTTCATCAATTGCTGAAGAAGTTTGAGGAATGCAAAGTGAAATGCCAAAATCTTTTGGTGACCACAGAGGGACAAAAGTTCGATTGGAAGGATCTACGACTTATGCTACTTCAGCTTGAACCAGAGAACTTCGGATTGACGGTTTACTATCTTGTTTTTATTTCTCAACTAACCGGTTCAGATTCTTGGTGAAACTACCCTGTTGACGTCGTCGTTCTGGCAAGACAAATGCATTCGAGATCGTCGGGGGCTGGCGATTTGTGCGAGCAATTTGTCCTTTGATGACCAGGTCAGTGAAATTAAATATCCCTACTAAGCAACTGAAATTCATCTTTTATTAACAGTGGAGATTGGTAACAACATCAACGATTAAATCAAATTGTTGCTTTGCTTTTAGGTGCTGTTGAATTTTGCCTCTCCGAATTTCATGCTGAGCGATGTGACTGCTTGTACATTTGCCGGAATCGCCTCATTTCTTAACGAATGGGGAGCTGGAATCCGAGAAGTGACAAAGATACGACTATGGGTTCGATCTGACCTGAACATCAGAGAGGTGAGTGAAAGAGCTAATTTTTGAGATGTTCTCGTTTAGTTCTTTGCCATGTTGTCTTGGAATGTCAAGTTTGAAACGAAGGTCGACAGCGATTGTTTCGATTTTTTAAACAATTTTATAGTTGTTAGGAATTCTCTCGGGAAGAAGCTCCACCTATGGATCGAACAAGAGGAGGCTATGGAATTTTGGTAAGTTCTTTTGGATTGAGTTGGAAAGCAGTATTCTTGTCGTTCAATGTGATACGAGAACCTTCTCTAAAAAGCGATTAACTAATCTTCTTTCAGTTTTGAGATGCTGGAGGACTACGACAACGACTACCTCGATTATTCGTGGGCCCCCATAGACGGTTGCGATTACGAGCAGGAGATCTCTCGATTACGGTTGCGTAAAGCGGTTTCTTCATTGCCCAACTCGCGGTTTCGCAAGTTTCGTGATGAAGAAATTTTGGAAACTTGGCCCATTAAAGAGCTGCTGAGCTGAGAAACAATTTTTTAAACTCGATGGAAGCTCGAATTTGAATGTAGCTACTCTAAAATCTTATGAATCTGTACCATTGTTGTGATTGTGTGAGCTTTGATCAGGCATTTCAGTAAATAAAAATTTTGATACTGAATTGGATAATTTTTTAAACGACCCAATACAAAATTTATTCGAATTATCATGAACAGGTCTGCATCAAAAAAATCACAGGTTATTTTGCAGCGATCTTTTTTGGCTATTCATCGCTTTTTTCGGCTTCGCCATTTTGCTTGATGAATACATATCGTTTTGAAGTTGGGTTTCCATCGCGGTCGAAAGCCTTCTTGTATTGGGATTTCTCTTTGCCGTGTGCCAAATATCTGTAAAAAAGAAGTCAAACAATTAATAATAATAATAATAACAAGTTGGGAATGAATGCAGAAATCCACTAAGAGAGGAATAAGCCTTATTGTTGCCTCATTGTTTATTACATTACTTTCTTTATGAAGTTTAACTACTTTAAGTTTAGTTTAACCGTTATTTTATTACTAATTTAGCACAAGTCAAACGGTGTTTTCCCTAAATTTTCCCTTTCTTTAGTTTTTTTGTCTCTCAACAATCGGATTCCTTTCCTGCACTTTCGAAGAAAGTTTAAATTAAGAAATCAAGTCTCACTTTTTCTCGCGTTTAACCAATGTCTCCTCCAACTGGTAATCCTTTTCCGACGTGCAACCTTTCCTTGCCCGAGAAGCCATGGCATCAGCCTAAAAAGACACATGATCTGGCTCCACATTAAACCCTAATCATCTCATTTCCCGCGTCGCCATTGTGGCCATATACATGTTGAAAGAGGACTCCTCTCGGGTAATTTGATACCACCTTCTTGATCGAATCGATTCTGAAAAAAAGACCAAATTTGAAGATTTTAAGTATTCCAAACCCTTTACGAAGATCTTTTGTTTTGAGCTTGCGACGTTTCTTCAATCCCTGGATCGTGTTCAAGCTGTCAGTACGGACGATAACATCCATATCGCTAGAAGGAAATGTTAAAAAATACAACAAGCTTAATTTATTCAGATAAGGCTAGATAGCTCTGCGATCCTATTTTAAAGCTTATAGAGCAATTGGGCAAGTGTATGAACTGATTGGACACAAACCGTTGGTTATTTTTGACCTATTCCATGCTATGTTCAATAATTAGTCTTTTGTAGAGGTTGTATTGTACCGTAGCTCCTTTTTTTAGCCCAGCTGTCATCAAATATATGTTTTGTGGAAATAATGCACAATTGGAGATCTTCAAAAATGAATGTGAAGCTTTGAAGCAAAAAATAGAGTTTGCTCTTTAGCGGCCAAAAGAAATGATCCATTTTTTGGGGACTATTTTAACTGTACGGCACTTTTCATTTCAGTGGCAATATTGTTGGGCAGAGGATCTACAACCAAGGTGTCACTTGTTCGAAGTGTCCAACTGAATCGTCGTGCTTACAGGCCAGCGGTCTGTGTGGTAAACTGACTGAAGCAAGACTAAGCTACTAAATACTGCAATAGTACCCTCCTATAGGAGTGTCGCGTAGTCCAACTTTACTCTCAAATGAACGTTCATATCTCAGCACCAATACGTTTGTTTTTGCGCCCCTGGATATCAAATCAAGGTAGAAAGGATGGGTGATTTGCTTGAGATATAACAAATATGTTTTAGCATTAACCAGGGCTTAGAACAAAACGATCGAAAAATTATGAAAAATCGGCTTATTGGCCACTTTTTCCGCGCAGAAATTAGCGTACTGGTGTCGAGAACCGAGCGTTGGTTTGCGAGTAAATTTGCAAGTGAATTTAGTCTACGCAACGCTCCCATAGACAGGTGCAGTATTGCAGTATTTACGATATTCATCTACGGTGTGTGGTTGAGGCTAAAGTCTTCAACTACGTCTGTGGAGCTATGCTAACTCTTAACTTGCAGCTACTCCAACCTCAGTCGTTTTCCCAGCCGCTGTTCAAAGTTCAATTATATTGGTTTGATATTGGTGCCGTTTGGTTAACTCTTTTTAGACGATCAATGGCTTTCGCTCAAATGTGACCCTTGGCAAAGAAAAGTGGACAAATTATACTTGGGACTATGAATATGAGCACAATGTTCGTTGATGATTACTAACCTTCAAATGAAATTTAAGCCGGGCACCCCACCAGACACAAAAACGTGGCCAAAATCATTGAGAATGTGCCAGATAGTGGGTTTGGTTATAACATTTACTTTTAAATTTTCAGGCTTCTTCCAAATGGCGTCATAGGCCCGGAAGCACGTTTTAGATGACATTATCTGCTTTCTAAAGTGTGGATACAGTGACTTTATAGCGTCAAGAAAGCATATAATGTCTTCTAAAACATGCTCCCGGGCCCATGACGTCATTTGGAACAAGCCTACTCATTTTCACCGCTGAGATTATCTCCACCTTAGAGATGGAGTCCCAAATATGCGACCGCGGCAGCGGCTCGGTTGGGCGCTTGGACAAATGCCGGCTGGGGAACGCAACTCCCGCCAAATCCTTATAATTTGGTCGACATCGGGCACGGGATTTACCCGTTGAAGCGAACAGATACCCCATCAACACCACAGCAAATGTGTATGTGAATGTAGCTTGTAAAAAAAGGATCTTTACGCTTAACGGCGGGCGGGAGCGATCATCGGTGCGGGCCGATCTTTTGGCCAACTTGCAGCCCGACTTTAGATGGGTTTTTGTCAATGACTTTTGATGAGATAAATGGTTTCTGAAAGTTTACGTTCTAAGCTATCTAAATCTTAGTAAAACTTCCTGATCTGACCAGTTTGGGGCTTCATAAAGCTGAAAGTTGATCAAAAAAGCGGTCTCCGGCGATAATCGTTCACTCGCCGTTAACCGTGAAGATCCCAAAAAAGAAAGAAAAAAACAACTGTCTAGTGAAAACTCATTCTAATTGACAATAGACATTTACCTTGTAATCGTCAATAGGTGTACAATGGAAAATCGCCATATCTCAGTCAATTTCAATAGCATTTTTTTTGTTTTGAATCTATTCGACCCAAAATTTTCTATCGAAAAGATCCGATTGAAATTGACCCAGATATTGCAATTTTCCGTCATCTACCTATTGACGATCAGGCAGAAAATGCACATGTTTAGTTGACAAAGCTTGGAACGAGTCTTGGTATGGTTACTGGTCGGTGTGCGGTACTTTATCCTGAAAGTGGAATGGATTTACGGATGTAAACAACGCTAGCTGGACCTATCAAAATTATGCGTACGCAGTAAGTACAAAAAGGTAATTTATTGGGTACGAGCTTTCAAGGTCATGTCTGGAAACGCGCAGCTCATTGGATGTGCTTACCGAAAGATGCCTGGCCAATACGCAGTGCTTTGTCAGATCTTTCCGGCTTGCTGAAAGTGGATTTCTTTTTATTTACATTTTTCATGAAAATGATTTCTAGCCCCAACTTGCCTAATTCAACTTATACCCCATATCTTGCGGGCGGAGAGGATTCAGTGGTCGGAAAGAATTGCCCAATAGATGGACCGCCTGATCCTACCACCGGTCTTTGTACTCATTGTCTTTGAGGCTTCGATCAAATGTACGATTGAAATCTTGTTTACCAGAATTTTCTCAATAAACTGATTAAATTATGCTTATCATTAGAGCAAACACGCAAAGAATACAAAAAAGAAAACCCAAACGTTTTTCACCTATGAAGTTGATAAACATAAACTAAGTAACAAAAATGCCAGTACGACACAAAGAAGCCTCCCAGATCTTAGTAAATATTTTATCAATTTTTTGTCAGTGTTATGAAGAGCTGAGTGCTGGACAGGGTGACCAAAGATTATAGTAGCATTTGGCCCACAAAAATGTGTGGTTTGGTATTTTTAGAAAAATACAGGGCAAAAAATTTTCACTTTGACCTTTCCAAGCTAATATATCGAATTTGTCATCATTTCCTAGGAGATTGTATGTGTAGATTGTGCAATAAAAAATAAATTAAATATTTCTCCAGTCTCGATATTTTTTACATATTACTCGATTTTGAAATGAGTACATTATTTACATATAAGAGTTTAAGGAAATATTATTCTAATATAAATGTATGTATGTAAAGGAAATATAAAGAAAAAACAAAGTGCAAAATGACATGGACATCATTTTTGATTGCCCAACTTGTTGCATTCTAGAAATTTACAGAACCGAAGCTTTTCTAAATCTGTCAAAAGTCTGTTTTAGAGGATAAATAGATTTTTTATTGGTAAAAATTATAGATTAATTGGTGCACTATTTCTGAATTGTTTGTGCAAAATCTCACATAAAACGTTTTCCCAAAAACCCAGAATTCCGCCTGAAACTGCAAGTATTTTGCTCTCTCTTCGCTCCTGAATAGACTATTAGATAAACGCGTTGAACACAATGGACATCAGCATGAGGAAACTGATAATTCTTCGTGAAGGTCGCTCTTCTCGTCCCACAACTCGTCGATTTGTCTTTGATTTTTGTTCCTGAAGTTTTCAAAAATTCGATTTATGCTCGAGGGTGATAATCTTGTCCCGTACTGTATGTCTCTCTAACCTCCCACAAATTTGGCTCACTCCATAAACTTATTTGGCGCGTTGGATAAAGCAGTCGCAATGACACACAACCAAGTGAGGAACTTTCGGATCATCAACTAAAAATCCAAAGCCGAAAAAAGAACGCACTCTAACCGCTGGTTGGGTGGGTGGAGTTGAATAAAATTTGCACTCTGCCCATTTTTTCTTCTGGTACTCGGGGGCCTTCAGCCCTTTCTGCCTTAGTTCCGCTTTAATTGTAGCAGGTTTTTAGGGATTAGTAGAGTTATTGAGATGTTGATTCGCAGCTTTATTA